CAAAATTCAATATTCGAAGCGTAAAAAATCACTTTTGCGTAAAAATTGTTGATCAGAGAGATTGTATCAAATAAAAATATAATCATAACGTGTTTGAATCGTATTATTCGATTCGAGCTTCCATTAATATTCTATTTATATATATTTATGATAATAAGAAAGAGAGAATTATTGGAAAATACTTTTATCTTTCTGTTTTTAAATTTATCTTGTTTGTCTTTCTGATTAACATTTATTTTCTGATCAAGTATTAAGAAATCTAACAAAACAATCTATTTTTACAAATATAATAAATATTATATAATATCGTACAAGAAGTCACTAATAAATTACAAACACAAAAAGCACTTTCACAAGGAAATAAAATCTACTCTTATCATAGATATAAATAATTCAAATTTTTAACACTTTGTGGAATACCTATGATGGAATAAGAAACGACGATGGGACAAATATTAAACAAATTCTTGAAATTTTCTTTTATAATTACAATTTTAAATAATACAATCATTGTATAGATGGTTACAAGACAATAATTATCATTTAACAAAGAAAAAGAATATACAAAAAATAAATTTTTCTCAGATATTACAAAATATCAATCAGACATCTAAAATCTAAAAATCTAAAGTAATAAGTAAACAAAGTACTTTTAATCGATACTATACAAATATACGAGTATTTACATTTAATTAAATTTAAAAAAAAAAGAAAAACAAGAATTAACAAGAATATTGAAATTTTCGTGGCATTCAATCGATCGGGGATGTGAAAAGGATTGAAAAGAAATGACAATGTTATTTCAAACAGAGCGGGAACAAAGTGCATAACACTCGAACACATTCACAACTCGCACGTTATTGTTTAGCCCATGTTTTGTTTAACTACTCACGTCCAGTTAATTTATGCTAAACGAATGTTATTCTTATCGCCGCCAATAAATAACGCCGTCTCAATCTGCATTTCATGGATCTGCAACAATTTGCAACCGTGTCTCGGAATTTACGAAATTACAAACCTCCTTTAAATTATTGGATACTTTGTTTAATATTGTTTCATTATTAAATACTTTAAAGGACATTATATCTTGATATAAATCGTACCACGATATTTCTTCTCGTGAAAGCTTTCATCTTCTTCAAACTTCTTCACACGTGATAAAAAAATACCTTTTTATCTATTATACAAGTCAAGCTCATCGAACTTTTTTATGTATTTCCTCGAGAATCAATTACAAGAGATTCTGATGATATTAAAGGCTTAAAAATTCCGCTTCGAGGCGATTAGAAATCAATCGCAACCATTGTTTGATGCGTTAAATGTTCCAGTCTTTTCTATCATTAATAAAGCAGACGTGTGCGCGAATACGTCGGCCATACTGAACATGTGGCGTCAGTGAGGTCCAACAAAGGAGAAATATGCGGAAGTACAATGCGGTTGCACATCGTTCGTGGCATATCGATACGTTGTGTGAAAGTCGCGTCACGAATGAACACCAACGTATGAAGAATAATGCTATGCATATGCGCTAATTGTTACTATGGAGAATGGTTCGTATGAGAGAGACGATTTGCAATTTCTTTTATAAATCGAGGAAAATGAAATCGTTTCAGATTCGTGGAAATTTTTCTAATAATTGTTTATTTAAAGAGTGAATTTTATACAAAATTTATTTTTCATTTTTCGATTGAATCGTATTAGTAGCATTTGTGAAAAATTTTAATATACTTGTAGATGTAAAAATATCAAAAGTATGCATTATTATATTCGAGAAATGAATATTTTTACTACGTTTCTTTAAAATTCGTAATTGTTATAATATTTAATATTAAATTGTTAGGAGAGATTAAACAATTTATTTTTTCTTTTAGAATCTTAATTTTAACTTCTAATATTCTATAATAAAAGTTTTAAAATTTTCAAATGATAGAATTATGAAATCGATATATTATAATCCTATAATTGTCCTTAACTTTTATAGAATTTTACAAATACTTTCTATTCATTGTGGATCTTTATCCCATATGAATACGATATTCTGACTGATTAATCGTCTCTTTTGACAATTTAGGTCAATTATCACGTTTTTGTATGAGATCTGTGGGTGTCCTCATACTTACAAACGAGAGTGTACATGCAACATAGAGATTAGTACAAGGACATTGTGTACCGTGAAAAGCCGAGTACATTAGAAAATATGAGTCATTGAAACACGTACCATAATCAGTATTAGCGTCCGGATATGACAAAAACTGTACAAGTTTCGTTAATTTCTATTGTAATACCGTGTACTGTATATGTATACATACAATGGATTTCTTGAACTCTTTTTAATTAATCGAAAAATTACAGTGGAATAAAATATTTGAATTAACGAATATTAATAGTAATAAAATAATAAAAATTAAGAAACAAAAATTACAAAATTTAAATTTTTCTCATTCGAAAATATCGTTCAAAAAGACGAATACAATATTCGCAATGTTCTGAATGAAATAAGAAAGAGAGAAAGGAAACTGAAAGGAAATAAGATAAATTTTTAATAATAAGTGTATGGATTAAGTAAAATGCTTATGATAAATGAACTTGAAGTGTAAAGTATGCATTCTTTCGATGATATCGTTCCGGTAGCAAAGTATGCAGAAATATTATCCTGCACAATGAATGCACGATAGAATAACAGGCTGTGCAAGCTATTTGTGTGTTTGCTTTTCGCATTTCAAACGACGTGTATATCGTAAACAATGAATTAGACCTGTAACGAACGAAATCTATTATATTCGTATTCCGTAACATGAATAACGAGAATGATACGATCTTTCTGCATTTTCTGGAAAATTATCCAATGATTTCGAAGTATTTCGATTGAATGTATGATATGAATATTACGTGCATATGTGATACACCGAAATGAAATTTTTTTTATAAAAATATTGATATCAATCGATAATTCTTATGAACGTTATAATGTCGATATGTAAATGAAATTGTTAATTCTTACAAATGCACATATTTTTGTGTATATGGGATTGTTAATTGATTTGAATAATTAAATGTTATTGTCACGAGTGCAATTATATGCATTTTTATTTTTTTCGTTGAAAAAATATTTCAAATATTAAATTTTTCGTAAGAAATATTAATTATAATGGATTTGTTTATGGATTATCTCAATAGATTATTTTATATGTTTTGGAATTTTGTTTAAATTAATTGTCGAATTAAAATAGTATTTTAATATGTTGCAATCCATACGAAAATAGGAAGGGTTTAAGTCATCGTTTTGTTAATTTCAAAATTGATTAGGAAATATAAACGTCTTTCTAAGTACTATTTTAATTTTCAATTGTCTTAACTCGATTCTATTTCTAATATTTCAAACGAAGTTTTACTATTTTAAATAAAATTATATCTTTATTTAAGGTTGTTCACTTTATTTTTAAAATAACATTATCCTTTTGAAAGTATTTCAAGTAACTTATTGACAAATATCTTTTTTGGTTTCTTTAATTTATCTTTTCATTGTATCTATTAGCCAGATCTACATTTATCAATTTTTTTGAAGTCTTCTATTATGAAAACAAAATTAAATAATTGATGTTAATGTTGAAACAACAATTTTCAAAAAAAAGCTTCTATTTTATTGTCTTCTACAGGACATGAAAACAAAAGAAAGTAACAAAGTGGCGAAAATTAAAATAGAAATTTAAAAAAAAAAGTGGATTAATTCAGGAGTTAAAAACTCCTTTTAGAAAAAAGGAATGAATATGATAATTTGTTTTATATATATTGATATATATTTCATCTTTCATGAGAAAAATTCAACAGATGTAAAATCATATAACAATTTCCTCCTACTAGTATAATGAACCAACATAAATTAGATCTATAGATCCACCAAAAGGATATCAATTTGCGTATAATTTAAAAACTATTCAAAATCTCAAGTTTCTGAAAAACATCGTCCATCTCTGAAATTATCCTACTAGAGTATCAGTTTAAGGAAAATTTATTTGGACGATTTTTCGTGTTTATTCGATTCTAGAGTGAAAGCTCGGCACGAGGCCGAGAATTTAAATATTATTCCGAGTATAAGAGTGAAGTTTTCAGGGTAACGAAGTTATTCACGGCCAACAATTACGAGTTTTCGCGCGGAAAATTCCGAAAAGCGTGGAAAGCGTCGCTTTAAATGGGCCACCGCGAAACTTCCGGCGAAAGAGACACGTCAATGTTTTACAAAACGGGTCGTGTCTTCCGGAGTGGAAGTTTTCTGGTTACTTACCTATTTTTCTTCTTCTTCTTCTTCTTCTTCTTCTTCTTCCTCTTTTTCTTATATCGTCGAATCCAATTATTAAGATTAGACCATTCTGTACTCTTTCATTCGTTCAGAATAGGTCAATAATGAACTCGTGTTTTGTCTCTTGATGATGTATATTATTAAAAATTGCATTTTAGAAATGAGTTAAAAAATATATCATATTTGTCATTATAAATTGATAATTTTTATTTTATCTAATGATTAAATCAAAGATTTATTTATTTTAATAATAGAATAAATAATATTTAGATTAAAATAATCTAATAAATAGACATAGCATAATATTAAGTTTTTTATTAATTTTAATAGATTTTATTTATTATAATAAACCTAGTAATCTATTAGTCTCGAAAGGATTAAGAACTTGTCTTTTTTCAAAAATTCTACTTTCAATTCAATTATAATTACATCATCGTTATAATATACATTGTGTTCCATTCTTGTGTACATTTATTTATTTTTGAAAATTTTTTAAACTCAACAAAGTTTCATTTTCGACTTTATCATTTTCACGCAAAATCACCCTCCCTATTCTAGATACCACCCTATATTTATCTAATCGAAGAACAAATTATCCTCTTCTCCCTCTCACATTTTTTTTTCTTTTTTTTTCTCGATGATTTGGTATCGCGCGTATCTTGTTTACAAGTAATACGTCTTAATTCTTGCATTTAACCGATAGGTGGAGGGTGGCGCGCGTTACAAGGCCAGCTCGCGTGACTGAATCGCATGTTAAGCGACCTACTCCAGAAAAAGAAAAGATACCGAGCCCGGTGTAATTCAGCCCCGATGAACGACAGAGAAAATATGCAGAAGCGTGACACGATTGTATCATCGTCGCGCTATAGTTCGTCACGCGGGATTCACCCGTGAATTTTTCCATCCACCACGACCGATTTTATTTCCTACGATTATTAAATTGCACATTGTTCGATTATTCGTATACAATTCACATGGCGATTTTCTATCTATTCCATTCTATCGCCAATTTTTCCAGGATAAAGAAGTGAAAGATGAAAGAAAATTTCATCTTGCTTCTCTTTTGCGTAAGTATAAGTATTGTCCTCCTCATTTTATTTGCATCGAATATCTGTAATCTTTTTCGATTTTTCGATATGTATTATTAAGATAATTTTTTTAGTTCCAGTTAAAAATTATTTTACAATTGCAGCAACGTTGGGCTCGAGATATGTTAGATTGTTAAAATAAACGTGGAATTTGTATAATGGAACGGGAATCGTGAAATATTGGCAAACGCAAATATAGGAAAAACGAACGCGGTTCCACACAATGTTATTTAACGTTTTCACGATACACACAAACGAACACAGGGATTAAATATTTAAACTCTCTCTCTTGGCGGATTCATAATCGATTGATACCGCGTCGAAATACGTGTTGCTACTTGTTGAAAATGGCGGGTGTTCGAATTTTGAAAATATTTTTCGTTTATTTATTTTTCCCGGGGCTGTTAATTAATTAACATTGTCATACTGCCACGTGATTTATACCTCGATTAATTAAATCGCGCTAAATATTCGTGTTAATAACTAACGTTGTGTAAATTTTTATTAAAAAATATTTTTTGCGCAAACATCGAATTATTTATTAGCCACGAACTGAACTGATTTATGAATACGTAAGCACACATACGATGATGGAATATCTGCTTTGAAAAAAAAAATCTTGTGTACCCTTAGATGGAGAGAGAAAGAGAGAGAGACGTATGGTTAAAAAGATATAGGTAATCTTGATTGGCCAGAAGAAAAATTACTTTTATAGAAGATTATCTGCTGCACCTCATTCCCACCACGTAACCATCAACTTTCGCCTATAATATTTTCCTCTATTTTTAGCTGCAAAGAAGATAATTAGATGTCTAGATTTTGATGGATCGCTCTTTATACCGGATTGTTGTAAGATACGCAGTGTGTATAATGTTTGAACGTAAACGATTTGTTTTTAGAGGAATAAATATAACATACAGAGTATTATTAAGTGTTTGACACGTATATTTATTTGCGTATATTATTTTAAAGATACCTCTTCTTAATTTTATTCTTCTTAAATTTATGAATTTATCTTGCCACGCTTTTGGGGATTTATTTTCGACCTAATTTCGAGAACCATGGTGCGTTGTCCGTTAACAAATTTTTGAAATTTTTGGAAAAGGAATAATCTCGTTTTAATTTTCATGCTACGATTCTTGTTATTAAAGGATTCTCTGTTGCTTGAAATCTCAGTGCGAATTATAAATTTGATATTAGGAGATATGGAAATTTTTAATAAAATAATATTGCTTTTAATCAGCCCACTCGTTCCAATGTGTGTAAAATTATCAAAGATTCAATTAAGGTATTATTCCATGTTTTTCATTAGGAATAATTCTTTCTAGGAAATGGAACAATTATATCGATACAATTATCATTTAAAGAGAAATGAAACGTACAAATACGTAAAATATCATACAAATTTTATTAATTTATGGAAACGATTAATAAGATAAACGTGCGTGTGTGGTAAACTTTTAAGCGTTCGAGATATGATAAACAGCACATAAATTCGAAAATTAGTTAGTCAGAAAAACTAGGTAACCGCAAAGCAATACTAATTCCATCCAAAACCACGAGAGAAACCACGTTTCACGCGCTCTAAAACTCTATTTAACCACGAAACGAAAGGAATATTATCCGCCAGCGTTTCGATATGCTTGTCACCGCGATTTCTTACCATTTATTTCATAAAGAAAGAAAGAAAGAAAGCGCGAACTCTTTGTCATTATTTCGTAACCAACAGTGAACGTAAAATGTGGTATTTATAAAAAATTGTTAAAAGATATTGTATAAATTGAATTTCAATTTCTATTATACCAAATATTATTTATTTATGTGTTTTCTTTAATTATTTATATTCTAAAAAAAACAATATTGAAAATTGGAATAGATATATTATATCTTCTATGAAATTTATAAAAAGTCTTAATTATAATATTTAATTTTTAATAATTTATAAATTTGTTTGTGTTATTTATCACTTTCAATTTTCCTAAAGAAATAATATTGAGAATTTTTTAATCAATTCAATACCACACACATACACACACACACATATAAGCATATAAGCACATATAATCACAATCACAATATTTATTTACCAGAATTTCGATTATTTAATTAACCAATATATTATTTTTATTCAATCAATTTCAATCTATATTCTACCATTTTTATTTATGGATTCTATTATTTAATTTACTTTATTTAAAAAAAAAACGATTTAAATTAAATCGATATAAACAAATATCGATAAACTCGCTTCTCATATCGCGTGTTAACAGACAGTATAAATGAACAGGAAATGGAAGCTTTTCACGGACTTATCGCAAATTTAATCGTTCGTGTCGCAAACCCTACCTAGGCGCGTGCACGTTTCAAAAGAAAAATTAACCCTGCCAATTATAAATGAAAATCCATCCAAACGAAAACCACCATCGATCAATCGATCCTTGGTGACCTCCTTCTATATTTCGATTCGGTGCACATGATCGAAACAAACCGTTTATCCTGTTTTTCGTTCCTCGTTTACGGGGACGAATGAATACGCGACAGCTTATAATATTCCCAATTTTCATATATTATATATACATATATATATATATCGCGAGTTATGAGATCTATAAATAACCGGTGATTTTCAACATAAGCACGAAATTTCGACGTATATGAAATTTCATTCGAGATGCTCGATTGCCTTCGTTATGCGCGAAATGGGGGAGGAGGAAGAGCGGAAAGTCGAAAATTCGAGCGAGTGATCTGTGTGTCACGGTTGTTAAGAGATCCGGTTCGTCAAATTGTTTCCGTTTATTGGAATGCATTGGAAACGTGGGGGGAGGGAAATAGCGTGGAACGGAAATGTTGCTCGCGCTGTATTACCGATACGAAAACACTCTATTTAAATTTGGTATTAGGTTTATTATGCATATAAAATTTTAGTTTCAATTCAGTCCTTCCGTTTTTTTCTTTTTTTTTTTTTGAATTTATCGTATTCTTGTTTTTCGTGGAATGTATAAAAATAGTTTTGTTTTTTTTTTAAATGAAAGATTAATAGAAATTTAATTTCGTTTCGAGATAGTCGAGTATATAAATTTTGAATGGGAAAAATTTATTTAATTAGCGTTAGGTATAATTGAGGTTAACATTGAATCTTATTAAACAAACTCTTTATAAATATCATTATTTAATATTCATTATTGATTCTAATTTGTGATAGTTTCCAAAAAAAAAAAAAAAAAAGACTTGAATTGTTTATCAAGTCTGTATTTTTGCACTTCATCAATCTTCATATTCAGATATGGAAAGAAACACGGCAGCGAATCTCTCCCATCTACCATCACCAAATATACACACTACGTTCAATGAATTTTTCATATTCAGATCTAAAAATTCCGACGTGACAGCTTTCAATTTATTCGACAAAGTATTTTGCCCGCAAAAATTAATAGAAGTTATTGCAATTCGAAACAAATATAAATAAAACGCGTTGAAGCTGACAATAGTATTTTTCATACTCGACATCATAAATGGAAGACGAAGTCAATATCGTGTTTAATAATATTGTAATCGATGTTTTTCTTCCTTCTGTTTTTTTTTTTCTCTCTTTCTTCTGATCGAAATATATATATTGTAACATTAGATCACACTTCTCGTCGTGAAACATGGATCGGAACTTCGCCACGCTTGAAGAGTTCGCTCCGGAAATCGGAAACAAGAAAATTTATTAGAGCTGAAATCTATATATTTTTCGACAGATAGAGTATCGTAAATTTTTTTTTTTTTGAAGAAAATATTTGTCTTTCTTGCATCGAATTTCTTCCATCTTGCAATATTATACTTTTTATATTATTAGATTGATTCCACATTTGTTTTTGACGAGAGATGATTCATCAAGATATTAAAAAATTTCACAAAGTTTAAAATTTCAATGTTAATTAATGACAATCAAACGAAAGCTCTTTGATCATAATTCTCTTAAACAATTATCTCAGAAGTGATCAGAAGTATCTCAGAAAATATCCAAATTAAATTTAATATCCAAATATCAAGCTACAAACTTTGATTAAGAATTCATAATTAAATAACTAAAAATTATTTCAAATCATCATCTAAACTAAACAATCACGAGATAATTAGAATTACTTCAAATTTGAGAGAGAAAAGAGATCTAATATCCAATTTAACGTCTCTTCTTTTTCTCTCTCTCTCTCTCTCTCTCTCTCTCTCGCGTCACGTCACGTCTATCACACGCAAACTAGACACGTTTGTCCACGGCAAATATCGATTTCGTTGCATCGATACAACCCGTCGATGAAGTTGTATACCGACGTAAAAACGCGGGAAGATATCATTCCGCGGGGTTCTCCGCCTCGTTATCACGTACACGTTGATGAATGACGCGTGCAATGGGCCCTCATAAATCACGTTCCAACGCCAACACGTCCACGGAATCATAAATATTCACGCTCTCCTCGCGCTGCGTTTTAACCGTTGTCGTGGAAAAGCGAACGGTCAAACCCTTGGAAGAAGAAAGCCGAGAGGTTTTCCTGCTTGATAGCGTGCACCATTCGAGTGTGGATTTCGATTATTAGAATAAAATAAAATGAACATGACTTGCGTGACACGGTGGAATTCGATTTAATAGAAATTTCAATAACTTTAGAATTTATTTTGAATGTAGGATTGATTATGGGGTTGAATAGTGTGATATCCGTTGATTGTTTGGG